AACCTAGTAACTGCAAGTGAGATATGTGTTGCTTATCGAGGCATCATCCCCGCCAACAACCCGGAGCTCCACAGCCTGGTCAAGATCCTCGTGGATACCAAGGTCAACGTGACCGTCGTCTTCTCCAGCAGACAAAACGCCCGCTCCTTCTTTGAGGTGGTGGTCCAGAGGAATGTCACAGGCATGGTGTGGGTGGGCTCCGAGGACTGGTCATTAGCCAGAGCCGTGTGGCAGGTGCCTGGCATCCAGCGCATCGGCTTGGTGCTTGGGATGTCAGGGGAGACGACAGAGCCCGCAATGCTGGAACGCTTCGTATCATGGAAGATGGCAGAGGAAGGCACTCAGGCTGAATGTGCCGGCAGCACGCCACGGCCTCCATGACCTGCTGGGCTGCGCCTCGGGGACGTGCAGCAAGGGCCCGGTGTACCCCTGGCAGGTAAGAGCAACATAAGCAATGATATTGGGGACTGCGAAGAGGAGCCAGACCAAGAAGGGGCCCTCTAGCACGTCTCCCTCCAAGACAGGGCACTCCTCTCCTCTCACTCTCCTGTTTTGCAGCTCCTACAAAAAATCAAGCAAGTAAACTTCACCCTGTACAAGAGCCACATCTCTTTTGACGCCACTGGGGACATTCGTAAAGGCTACAACATCGTCATGTGGAAATGGAATGGCCCAAGCTGGGCTTTCGGTGTGATAGGAACCTTCCGCGTGAACCCTGACAGGCTGAGCGTTGACGATGACAAGATCCTGTGGCACACGGAAGACGGCCAGGTACTGTTCTGCATCCAGATCTTACTTACTGCTTACTGCCAAGCCAGCTATATCCCCACCACCGCTGGTTCTGGGGTATTTCCCCATGGCAGGACAAAACCGAGGGCAGACAGAGGTGGTAGGGGGGTGATTTGTGCTCTGAGTATCAGCTTTCACCCTGAAAAGGATGAAAACAAGCAGGGCACACAAACCACAAGCTGTCCTGCTTTCACCTTTAACCAGTCTCATTTTCACACCCTCTCTGCAAGAGGCACGACGTGGTGCGCTCAGTGGGGTGTCCCACTGCCTGCTCTGCTTGCCTGCCTGACCCTGCCATGCTCCTGCCAGGCTCCCACCTCGGTGTGCACCAAGCCCTGTCAGCCGGGGGAGAGGCGGCAGCAGTGGAACCGCCACCGATGCTGCTTCAACTGCGTGGCCTGTCCATCAGGAACCTTCCTGAACAGATCCGGTCAGTGCGCCCCAGGGGGCTGCCCCTTCTCCTTCCTTCCCACTGGGCTCTCCTCTTGCTTCCGTCTCACTGCCCCCCCAGTCCCTTCCCTCCTGCTCTTTCTTCCTCCTTGTAGTCAGTGAACCCTGAGCAGACCTCAGCTCCGGGTCGGCCTGGCTCCCATTTGCTTACCCGGGGGCATGCAAAGCCTGTGCCCAGCGCTTCCCGGGAGCGCTGCCCG